CTGGAAAGGAGGCTCCGACCGCTTGTCGAACCTCAGATTCAAGAGGAGCAGTGCGGATTCCGTCCCGGCCGTGGAACAGTGGACCAGCTCTTTACCCTCGCAAGACTACTGGAGGGGTTCTGGGAGTTTGCCCAACCAGTCTACATGTGCTTTGTGGACTTGGAGAAGGCTTTCGACCGGGTCCCTCGGGGAGTCTTGTGGGGGGTGCTGCGGGAGTATGGGGTGCCGGACCCATTACAACGGGCGATCCGGTCTCCGCACCGATCGACAGGCGGATCGGTGCGGCTGCAGCAGTAAAGCAGGCGCTGCACCGGACCGTCTTGGTGAAGAGGGAGCTGAGCTGGAAGGCAAAGCTCTCAATATACCACTCGGTCTACGTTCCTACCCTCACCTATGGTCACGAACTCTGGGTCGTGACTGACAGAACGAGGTCGCGGCTACAAGCGGCCGATATGAGCTTCCTCCGTAGGGTGGCCGGGCTCAGCCTTAGAGATAGGGTAAGGAGCTCGGTCATCAGGAGGGAGCTTGGAGTCGAGCCGCTACTCCTTCGCGTCGAAAGGAGTCAGCTGAGGTGGTTCGGCATCTAATTAGGATGCCTCCTGGACGCCTCCCACTGGAGGTTTTCCAGGCACGTCCAACTGGGAAGAGACCCCGGGGGAGACCCAGAACACGCTGGAGGGATTACATCTCCCAGCTGGCCTGGGAACGCCTCGGGATCCTCCAGAATGAGCTGGAACATGTTGCCGGTGAGAGGGAGGTCTGGGTCAGCCTGCTTGGCCTGCTGCCACCGCGACCCGCGGTGGAAAATGGATGGATGGATGGAAGTTATTACAATAACTTTGTTCAAAGCTTAAAATCCTTTCAAGGGTGCGTTTGCACAATCCCACGTGAAGTATTTCATGTGTTTTAAAGCCACGTTTAAAGTAGTCTTCAATGTACTCACATTTCCATTTCAAGTGTACAGTAACCAGCCAAAGAGCTGCTTATGACTGTGTGTTTAAGTATCTCATAATCATGACTTTCTATCTCATAATTTCGACTTTCTATCTCATAATTTCAACTATGGGGATATTTTTTTTATCAAATCTAACTTAAATCTTTTATTTTTTTTATCTGGCTGATTCGCATAAAATGACGTGGCGGGCCATATGTTTGACACCCCTGCTCTAAATGGACCATAATGTACTAAATGAACATCATGCTGCATTGAAGAAGACTTGAAACTAGAGATTGAGACCATAAACTCATGTTTACAATGTTTACTGAGGTAATAAATCAAGAGAGAAGTAGAGTCATTTTCTCATAGACTTCTATACAACCAGAGGAGTCGCCCCCTGGTGGACACTAGAGAGAATGCAGCTTTAACACATGAAGCTCTGACTTCACTTAAAGAACCGGAGGTTTGGCTCCTGGTTAAAACACAAAGCAGTAGAACTCCCCGACACCTGCAGACACAGGTGAGTAAGGACAGACACGTACCCACACAGGTCTTCCCATCAGCGGTGGAGGTGAAGCCCCGGTCACACACACACATGTAGGTCCCCACCAGGTTCTGACAGAAGGCGTGACGCCCACACAGCGTCTCATTGGAGCACTCGTTAACGTCTGAGGGACAGAGGGGACAGAGTACTAAAGTACTAATACTACACTGTGAAAGTACTCTTTACTGTAGTACTGAAGCACTAGTACAATACTGTGAAAGTACTCTTTACTGTAGTACTGAAGCACTAGTACTATACTGTGAAAGTACTCTTTACTGTAGTACTGAAGCACTAGTACTATACTGTCAAAGTAACTTAAGCTGTCAGATAAATGTAGTAAAGTAAAAAGTACAACATTTGCCTCTGAGATGTAGTGGAGTAGAAGTATCAAAATACAAGTACAAGTACTTCAAATGTGTACTACTCAAGTTCAGTACTTGAGTACATGTACTTGTATCTGAATATCTGATCATGTTTCAGTATAAGAGTCCTCCTCCGTCTGTTTCACATTAAACGTAATGTCCCCTCTCTGGAGGGCTTTAACTTTGACAAACTTCTGCTGTAGATGTTGAGTTTCACAGAGACAGTTATTTTGTGCTTGTCTCGTCATAATAAAAACATATGAAAACATAAGAGGGATGTGATGTGAAGTCAGACTCACCCACACAGCCGCCGGTCTGCATCACCTGGAAACCCGGCTCACAGGAAGTGAGGCAGCGGTACGAGCCAATCGTATTCTCACATCGCTGTGACACGCACACGGAGCCGCCGGACCGGACGCACTCATCAACGTCTGAGACACAGAGAGACGATGTGTGTTTGTTAGCTTCTTTTGTGCCAATAAAGCTTCTTTGAACTGTCAAAACCACCATGTGAAGCCATGAGGATTGTTATCTGTGTGTGACCTGTTATCTTTGTTAGTGGTGGAGGAAGTACTCTGATTACTGATTACTCATGTAAAGACATGTGAAAACACCAATAAAAGTCATTCACTGTATTCAATGTCTTACTTAACTGTAGAAGTATTATCAGCAACACGAACTAGAAGTGAAAGTACTTATGAAACTCTGCCAGTGGTAGATTCATCATGTTTTTGATACTGATACTTTTACTATAAACAGAGTATTTCTACACTGCGGTATTGCTACTTTTACCAAAGTAAAAGGTCTGAGTACTTCTTCCACCACTTCTAGTTTGTTGGGTAGTTTTTAAATGTAGTGCAGTAAACAGTACAATATGAGATGTAGAGGAGTAGAAGTATAAACGAGCAGAATGTGGAGATACTCAAGACAAGTACGTCAACATTTACGTTACAGTACTTAAATTTAGAATCAGGTTTTGATGATTGAATGAAAACGTGTGTGTGTGTGTGTGTGTACCGAGGCAGGCGGTCCTCTCTGGGTTGGTGGTGAAGCCGGTTTGACATTGGCACTGGAAGGAGCCGTCAGTGTTCACACAGCGGCCGTCCACACACACACCCGACTTCACACACTCGTCCACATCTACAGAGAGAGAGAGAGCGTCAGTGCATGTAACACACACACACACACACACACACACACACACACACACACACACAGACACACACACACACACACACACACACACACACACACACACACACACACACACACACACACACACACACACACA